AGCGGTGGCTTCCGGTTCTGGCGCCTGATGTAGCGGTCGCAATGTAAGAGAGCTCCCGCGCTGCCAGGCTTAATCGGCATATAAAACAGTATCTCGGCCTCCCACTACCACCCTCAAACCTTGGGGAAATAGTGAAGGAACAGCGCTGATCCGCTCATGGATAAATTTCTAGCGAAGAAGCGTAACGGGCCGCGGAGTAAAACCACGCCAACCAGGCCGAAGAGGCCTCAACTACCCTCTAAGATGGCCGCTGTCCATGCTCTCCCGTATGTGAGCCCGTCTTCGGAGGAGGACCGCCCGCTGTTATCGGAACATGGCCTAATCGCCGCGGAAGTTGCCAAGCTGTTACGCCCGACTATCCAAGACGCGGTGGCCAAAGCTGTGTTTAACTGTTTCTTATCCTAACGTTTTGGCTGGACATCCACTATAAGAAATCTGTATACTGTGAGCCTTCCATAGGAAGCGCTGGTTCTAGCCGACGAGGCAACAAGAAGTCACCAGAACTCATTGATTGTGAAAGTCGGATTCCCAGAGGTGACCTATGTTGCCATGACAAAGGGACATTGTGTGGCCCCAAAATCTTGGCCGTCTTCCACAAGAATGAAAGGAATGTTGCTGATGACTTCCTGTCTCTTCATCTGGGTACAGGACGGCACTGTGGTCACTATAAGCACCCACCTGTACACCGGGCAAGGGGCAGCTAATGTATGAACTGTATCAATGTATCTAAAAGGTAAGAAACTTTGTATCAGATTCACAAAAAATGATTTCCACAGAACATGAGACACGATTCCAAACATACTGAAACATCCATTTACAGTTCTCATACACTAACAAAAGTTTTGCTTTAAAGTGACGCCAAACTCCGGAGTTAAACCTTCAAAATTCATTAAATGTGTGTAATAATACAAGGGTGAGCCTACATCAAGATACCCCATCCGACCCTATTATTGTAAAACCAAGTGCCCATAAATAAGAACTCAGCATACGGACGTTTCCAGTACCACAAGGATCAAGCTACAAGAGCTGGTAGAGGTGCACCGAAATAAACAAAAAATGTCAGGCCGAAATCAAAAATGTTTTTTATTTGATCTTTTTCAAACATTTTTTCTTATAAGCTTTTCATTTTTTTATATTTATTTGTTCATTTTTTTTAATTAAATATTTTTATTTTTTTACTTTACTTTTAGGGCTTCGGGGAAATATTAAACTAAACAGACCCGATATTTCCCTTTTATAATAGAAAAAGAGATTGAGAACACAGAGTAGCGGTGACTACTTTACAGCACACACAGGGACCATGGGGAACAAAAGTAGCCCCCCTCCAGAAGGAAGGACAGTGTCAGCACCAATTCAGAGATGATTGGAGGATCTACAGCCGAGTGATACACACATAAGATTTTTATTAATCGTTAAGGTACTTGAATGTATTTTTAAGATTTAACTCTGGAGTTTAGTGTCACTTTTATGTTATTGACTGACTCCATCACCTATTAGCCATTCACAAAGCACGGTGATCCAATATCCATAGTGTCAATCGAAGATTCAGTAGTCACATCTTTTTATTCATTAGGCACTAATAACTCGTGACTACTCTTCAGGACTCATATCATATTAGATACGAGGATGTCTCTGGTTTCCAAATTAACCAACATTCTTCATGTGAGGTGATGACCACATTACAGGCCATCAAAACTGAAGTCATCTATAGGTATTCTTACCCTTAATCAAAGTGCCTTACCTTGTACATTGTTCCCCTGTGGCCTGCAATCTTGGGATATCAGGGCACCGTCACTTCCAAAGTTTGGGTTCCAATGGGTTGCAGTGTTGGTGATTCTGCCACTTGGTGGGGTCAGTGTTTTTGCTGCCTACTCAGACTTGATTAGCGCGGAACATGGAACAGTGAGAAAAGTATTCCTGGACTGTGACTCTGCATCACGTGACCTAGGACCTGTTTGGGAATACCTCGTTGGTGATGTCAGAGTTCGTACTTGTGACCCCCTATATGTAATAACGAGGATGACATTGATCTAGGACATCTGTACTGAACTGCCCTCCTGAGCTGCATTTTTGATTTAGGAAGCAGGCCGAGCAGGAACATCTCATTTTTGGTACTTTCATAACTTATTTCTTATGGAATTTTAGAATGCACACAAGTCTCTCTACTGCAATGTCTTTATTCGGGGACCTCGACTTCCTTTTTAAACTGCAACAAAAAAAATTAAATCGTGCCCACCAGACTGCATGAGAAATTTTTGGAAAAGCCAAACCAGCATTGCTTTCTGCAACCAATATCCTTCACTCTTTGTAGGGAAGCTATAGGCCAGCCAACAGTTCTGTTCTTGTCACTCATAGAACTCAGTATTCGGGCAAAAGTGGTACTTTTTTTTTTTAGTAGGTTTCTAACCGCTGATAGGAAAAGGTTTACCTCTGTATGAAACTGCATTGTATGTAATAGCTAGCATGTTGGCTGGCATCCTGAGCAGCAGGACATTGCTTTAGAAAGGTGCTGCTGCAAAGGTTAAAATATGGCACTGACAGCACACAGAGTTGTATCTCAGCTCGACACAAAGCAGTGGCCCCGGGTCTGCAACACACACCGCCCCTTCTTGAACACTTCTCTTGCTCCTGCTCTGCTTCTCTTGCTCCCAGCACAGTGCTTTTGAAGAGTTTTGGGGAGGGAAGGGGATCACTGGAGAGCCAGGCTGCCGACTTGTGTGAGAGAGCTGCAGTCTGACTTTCCCCAGTTGCTGCCGGTGTTTTATCGAAAGCTCCGGCAGGTCAAGCTCTCCGACTGGGAACGTCGCCAGTAAAAGATGTACAGCAGATGGAGCTAGTGCGCATGGGCAGAAAATCCTCGTCGAACCGTCTAACTATTGCCACTGTGCGGCTCATCGGATTCTATAACCGAGTACAAACTTATATTTGTCCTAGGTTATAGAAGCCGATAGCCGCGCAGGCGAAGTGGCAACTGTGGTTGTAGAAAGAAACATGTGGCAGCGCAGGCGCTGTAACATAATATAACCTTTGACTAGGTTATAGAATCCAATGAGGCAATAGCCACTGCGCCCGCGCGGCTATCTGCTTATCTAACCTAGGACAAATATTACTGTAGTAGGTTATAGAAGTGGATAGCGCGTAGGCGCTGTGGCAATAGTTAGACAGTTCAACAAGGATTTCCTGGGCATGCGCACTAGCACCATCTGCTGCAGATCTCCTACTGGCAGTCTCCGGATGTGACGTCAACAGTTGGAGAGGTCGACAAGTTGGAACTTTCGATAGAACACCGGCACATAAAGCAGCGGCCTGGCTCTTCAACCAACTTCAATAGAGCTCTCCAATGTGCAGAGTATTTTAACCCTTGCTGCAGCAGTTGAAGTAAAAGGTCCCCATATGTATAATTGTATATGCAATCTGCACTATAGTAAAATAAAGCAAAGGTTCAGTTGGGCTTTACCATACACCAGAGGCAGATGAAAGGCTGCTGACCAATGAGGAAAAATATCGATTAACAAAACAAGTTACCTATTTGTCTACTGATGTATTTCCATGTCAACTATTGCATACACCAAAATCACAACCTCGGCACTCTACCTTGAGAGGAACTACAAGTACTATGAAGAACTGCGTGACTGACAGTCAGAGGCATGAAGGGATTTGTAGGTTCAGCACAGCTGGAGTGCCGAGGTTGCCTACCCCTGGTATACAGCATCTCTGCATAGGCAGTCAGCCAATACCCTGTTTCCCCGAAAATAAGACCTGGTTGTGACCATTCCCAGGGCCGGTGGTGGCATAAGAGGGAACTTGAAGAGCCGCAGGAGAGAATCAACGATGCCAATGAAGCCGGCGCTAGAGGAAGCGAGGCGGCAGCTGAGGGAGCAGAGCCGCATAAGCCGATGCCTCCTCTATAGCGCTTGCTACTGTCACTGGCGGGGTGATACCAAATGCACTCCGCCTGTGAGGAATCGATAGTGAAAGTGCGTTTCGCTCATTCTGGCCAGCGATTGGTTACCAAATTGCTCTTGGAAAGGTACGGCACCCCTGATTGACCTGATCACCCTATTCTTAACTTTGCCATTTTGGATGATTTAAATTTGGATTTGCGTTAACTTTGGATTGTTATACATTAAAAAAATAAGACCTACCTGAAAAAATAAGACCTACCCGAAAAATAAGACCTACCCCGAAAAATAAGACCTACCCCGAAAAATAAGACCTACCCCCGAAAAATAAGACCTACCCCGAAAAATAAGACCTACCCGAAAAATAAGACCGACCCCGAAAAATAAGACCGACCCCGAAAAATAAGACCTACCGCAAAAATAAGACCTACCGCCAAAATAAGACCTAGTGCGTTTTTTTGAGCCAAAAAAAATATAAGACCGTGTCTTATTTTCGGGGAAACACGGTAGTAAACAGCCGGGTGACACCACATCATTGGTTCTCCTAACGTCACTGCACAGATTCTTCAACTACAAACTGCAATTTAACATACAACGTAAGGCAACACTGGAAGTGCACCTTTAATTTTCTCCTTATATTTACTATAAACATAGCACAAACCGGCCGTTGCTATTCTTCTGTCACAAACATAATGAACTTTGACGCTGCCGATTATAACACTGTCATCATCTTAAGGGTCCCTCAGCCAACAGAGTTGGTGACCTTAATCCTGCAGGCAGAACAAAAAAGGAAAGTGAGAGAAGAGTTCATCCCTTGCAGACGCCCTGAAAAAAAACTGTCCGGCAAAATTTTGCAAAACGATCGGTTTTTGTTTTTTTTGGGAGAGGTGTCGATATCTCTGCTGCCTCGTCCGATGTGCAGTATCAAATCTGAAGAGTTTGTCACATGCATTCCGCAGTTCTGACTATAAAAATGGCGGTGAATTAAAACCAAACGATCTCTCACGTCCTTGGAAAAAAAAAAGATGTTTCCAAATGATAAAGGAATGTGTGCTTCAGTTTATTTCTCGTTTATTTGTTCTGCGTCAATTCTGTTGGTTGTTTTTCATTCGGTTAATTGTTCGAATAATGCACGTGCGCCAGGAGAAAATGACGACAGCGCAGGATGAAATCTGTGGCGGTCGCAGTAACATCCTGATGGGCTGCTCAGACGTCTTTTTATTTATTTTTTTAAATTTGATCTTCGTCTCTTCTGGTCCCCTCATCTCCAGCGGTTTTGTGCTTGTCCTTACTGAAGAGCAGCTCCGGTGCGTGCGTGAGGCGGTCTCGGCTGCTGGAGAAGTTTACTGTAACACTAAGCCCACCTACAAAGAGACAATAGTGTTACCATCGGGAAGAAGCCAGTACAGGCACAATAAGGCTCGGGGGGTCAGAGGTCACAGAGCTGAGGGGGAGAGGCTGGGAGGATCAGAGGTCACAGAGCTTAGGGCGAGAGCTGGGGGCAGGGACACAAGTCACAGAGCAGATGGGGAGAGCCTGGGAGAATAAGAGGAAACAGAGTGGAGGGGGAGAGCTGGGTTTTTTTTTAGGCGGGAAGAAGAGGACAGAGGGGGGGGGGGGACAGAAGTCACAGAGAGGCAGGCGGAGAGAAGCAAGGATCAGAGGGCATAGGGAAAGGGGCAAATTGCGGCACATGGGGGAAGGATCAGTGACAGGCAGAGCACACTACTGGGATGGAGTGACGGCAGGGGGCAGTCATATTTGTAATGAATAGCTGCGATCACTGGCTTATCAGCAGCTGGTCATAGCTATTCATTTGGGGTGTATTCACACTAAAATGGGAGCCGAAAATGCGGGTCAACGGAGGTACGTTCACATGAGTTTGCATAGTCCTTCTGTTCCATCTGTTGCGTTACATTGCATTTAGGGGGGGGGTTTGCTTTGATTTTTTACACTAAGCTATATGAGGTATTAGTTCTGCCTTGCGTTGACACCAGCAGACAGTTCACACCAGTCTGTTGCGTTGCATTGAAAGAAAGTAGAGCCTGCTCTACTGGTGTCATCTGCTCCCATTCAGTTATCCTCGTATTGGCATCCATTGAAAAATTAGAGTCAGGTACTTGGTAACTCTCTTTCTAGGAATCTTCATGGACAGCATCGGGGGAGGGGGGGGGTACACCAGTAGGATGGTTGCCTCACATCTTTGTAGGAAATCTCAGGCAAAAATAGAGGAAATCCTAAGGACAGATGGGGGGACTGTCCTGGGACCTGGGAACCCCACCCAGTCATGAGCACCTCAGGTCCCTGGAAATGTAGAACTCATGAAAAGGCTGTCACCCCCCACCCCCCGATGCTGTCCTGGAAGATGACTAGAGAAAATGGATGCTAAGGGATGTGCTGTGAATGGGGCCTAAATGAGCAAAGTCTAGGGGACCCTTTGCTGAAGCGACTATGAAATTATAGCAGAAGGGAATGCAGAGGACAAAGGGCTTACTGAGCTGGCCTGGTAATGAGGTGGGCTCTATATCACTTTCTGCTGCTTCAAATTCACATTGTGAGAAGCTCACAGTGTGCAGTGAAATCTATTGAGTTTGAATTTTAATGTCCATAGTCTAGGCACAGATTTCCTTTAAGAAGATGACAATTTGATGCTTCATTAAAACTGCATTTGGCAAGGAGATGATTAAATCACACCCTGAAATATTCACCCAAAGATCTATCTTAGCCACCACAATACAGCAGTGCTCGGTGGGAATGGGTTCAGCTGAGGTTAAGGACTTGCAAGAAATCTGGCCAGAAATGTAATTTGTTTTTACAGACTCTTGCTTTGCTTTACAGTGGTGCAGTAAGATGTTGTAGGCCCCCCATTTGTGTGTCTGTGCCTGCAATCATCTCATGATCTGAAGGTCTACAATTTGCACACATGAGGCTGTGTGTGTGTGGCTTGTGAAAAAGCTCATGAGACAAACACTGAAACAAAATCTTAGCCTTTAAAAGGCACAAGAAATGATAAGTCTACTCTAGAAAGTCATGATTAGGTCCACCAAAGCCCACTCACCTTTTCAGACTCCATAGCTGGGCATCTCCAGTTGAACAGGTAATATTGTAAGTTGCCATCCCCTATGCCAAACTTCAGCTTTTCCAAGAAAGTTTTGTTTTCCATCAGATCCAGAGCATTAAACACATCGAATCCTTTCTGCAAAACACCCAAGTTTGAGACTGGAATTAGTTTGTTAAAAGCGGACATTTAATCTGCCTATATTCTGCCTTCCCCGGTTCTTCCTCTCTCCCCCACCTCTGCTTATGCCATGTGTTTGTACATTAATTATAGATATGGTGATTGAATTTTGAACTAGATCTCATGGAACAGCCCTTTCGTATTGCTGATTGTTCGATACATAACATGGTATTGTCCCCATATGTACTTGCATTGACTCCGGCGGTAAAACTGCTATAACAGGGTTACCGTATCATACACACAGACAGAACATGTCTTTTAATAGTCAATTAAGTGCACAGACTATGTTAATAGCCTACTAAGTGTTCGAGAACGATGTGTTACCTCTCACAGTGAATACTAAGCAGCCTCCCTCTCTAGCTCATCCACAGGGTGGAAACAACTTACTAATTTGGCGATAATGAGAGCGTCGTTCATGAGGTCCAGCAGTGCAGTCTCTGTGTGGACACTGTAGAAGGAATAGGCTGCTTTCAGAGTTTTATGCTGCGGGTGGTGCATCACTGTAGAGGGTAATGTGTAAAAACTCAGGAAGTCTGTTAATATGCCATTTGAGCTCTGGAGAGAAGACAAAGCGAGAGAAGAGTCATCACACATACACAGGATTCCCAAACTACAATGCACCTTACAGCGGAAGCATTATCTGCTTATATCACGCCTCCCCGGTTCCTTTTTCCTCTCTAATCAACATGTTAATACAATGATTAAATACAACTTTTATTATACACAGTAATACCTTGGTTTACAAGTAACTTGGTTTGAGAGTGTTTTGCAAGACAAGCAAACATTTCTGAAAAATGTTTGCCTTGATATACAAGCAATGTCTTGCAAGAAGAGCAACATTTTGTAGAAAAGCACCACCCGAATAAGGCTGTAGCAGTGCGAGCGATGAGTCTGTTTAACGACAATGCAATGTCACATTGAATAGATTCCTTGTTAAGGTTTCACGAAATGAAAAAGATTCCATTGAGTCAAGAGATAGCAGTGATTCCGTTAGTGATGGTGAAAGTCGTCCTGCACAATAATCCTCCTCTCTCTCGTCTCCCTCACAACAGCCACAAAGGTACCTGTAATTGGTTTCTTTTTCTTTATATTTTGTATTATATTACAGTAATGTATTGTAATCTTTTTTTATATGAATATTTTTGGGTTGTGGAACAAATCATCTGAATTTCCATTATTTTCTATGGGGAAATTCGCTTTGATATACAAGCGCTTTGGATTACAAGCATGCTTCCGGAACGAATTATGCTCGTAAACCAAGGTAAAACTGTACATTATTTTAGACCAAACACAATTGTTTTTATTTTCTTTGGTTTCCTCTTCATAACAATATTCTCACTGGATCGGCTTCCTAACTCCCACAATGGTGTCTGTTGGCGGGGGAGTTGTCAGTTTGTCTGGGTAGACCTGTGTGGGCTGAATAGGCAGTAATAAGGGAACTCAGACTCCCTATGCTCTCCACTAGTATCGGTGCCGAGTATTTGGGCGATACTTACCCCCCCATACCGGAACGTCCGGTCACAGGGAGATTTCCTCTGACAGGCAGAGCCGCGAGCGAAGCCGGGCAGCGGGTAATGATTGCATGAGGTCCCAAGCTCCCCCCAAACGGCACACACACACACCTCCGACACACGCCTGTCCCATCTTCTGCTCTGACTGTGATCAGCACGCCCTCTTTGCAGCCAATCACCTTCCAGATAAACAAAGCTCCTCTCCAATCACTTTGTCGGCCTATCCTCTCCCACCCGGTTCACTCATTGGCCGTGATGACGGCACAACAGATGTCACGTGGTCTTCGAATCTCTGTCCCGTTGGAAGCAGCTGGGCAGCTGCCCCTTGCGCGGACTTGTTAACTCTTCCACTGCCAGTGGGAGTAAAATGACAGCAGTCACAGCGCCGCCTACTGCAGTTACACAAAGAGCTTGTACCAGCCCTTAACTCTTACAGAAAGAGTTAAGGGCTGGTACAAGTGTCTAGGCCAATCCGATGATGCCCACGGGCTCCGCATGCTGCCTGAGAACAGAGCATGCATCAGCCCCTTCTGCCTGGAGGAGCCATAGTGGGGTAATGACACATTGCCCGGATCCATGCTAGCGGATGTACCGGTGTCGGTATTCGGTATCGGCGAGCAACGAAAGTTAAATATCGATACCAAAAAAACCGGTATCGGTGCATCCCTAGTCGCCACAGATTGAAGCCAGGCCCCTGAATGTTGTCGCTTTAGCACCTCATTTACAAAGCTGGGATATGGAGAATTTAAAGTACTTCCACTTTCGCAGCCAAACTGGGATAACTTACTGTATATTTGTTACATGTTCTCATTCAGTTAGCACAGGGGTGGGCAAACTCTGCCCCTCCCGCTGTTGAGACCACAAGTCCCATGAGGCATTGCAAGATTCTCACAGCCACGACTCCCAGAGACAGATGCAGGGGGCCGGAGTTTGCCCACCCCTGAGTTAGCATACAAATTTTTAAAAATTGCAGCTTACCTTTGTTAGGTGTTCTATTCTGGAAAGTTCAAGACTGAACATCCCGCTTAGTTCTCATCCTTTGAGGTTGGAATTAGTTTTATTTGCATAAATAACCTTGATGTGCCAGAGTTCATTATCACTTGTGCACTAGACAAGCAGGACTGTCTGTCCTAACAAAGGGTTAAAGACCTCAAGGCAATGTATGTTAATGCACTTTAAGGAAAAAAAGAAAGAAAAAAAAACCTGTCCCTCAGTCTGTCCCCTTTTTGTGCTTGTTGTCATCTATTCTACACCACCATCATGGGAGCGAGCTTGGAGTGGTGGCTACTTTAGAACACACACAAGGACCATGGGGAAGAAAAGTAGCCCCCCTCCAGAAGGAAGGACAGTGTCAGCACCAATTCAGAGATGATTTGAGGATCTACAGCCGAGTGATACACAAATAAGATTCATCTTTGTTCGTAGTTAAGGGACCTGAATGTATTTTTAAGATTTACCTCCGAAGTTTAGTGTCATTTTAAGCTCCTCTACTGCTCTTTATTCAGGCAAGACAATTACCATAGCTTTATATTAATCGTTCAGCAGAAGTCTGCTTCAAAGCTGAACTAAGGTAGATATAAAATACAAATGAATGCAGTTCTGTATTTATACATTCTTAAATGCATTCTCACAAGCAGTTCAAGCACTTAAATTTGACCTGGCACCAAGCTCTTGCAGTCAACTCTACAGCAGATCTCAGGCTGGGAAATGGGGAAGCAGAACAAGCATTGAGTTGTGCTGCAGTTCCAGAAGCAAGCTGATAGGAGGAGAAAGAGACACAAACGCATCAGCCTTCTGCTTCTCCTTTCACTGTCAAGTCCCAGGGTGGGAAAGGGATAAGACCTATAAGTATTACTGAACTGCAGCAGAGAAAATCAAGTCTCCTTTCCTGCCAGACAAGGCTGTGCTATGAGGCAGAGCTGTGTATATCTCAGGAATAGATGGACAGAAACACAAATCATTTGACAGGTAAAACAGCCCCCTTATGTATTTCATCTGTGTTATTAGTTGTGTGAGCTTAGCTTTAGATTTCGCTAATTTAGATTACCTCTCTCTACACGCATACATTTATAAGAGACAGCCACAGTTCAATAATTACCTCTACAACATAGGTGTCTATTATATTATCCTGAGGGAGAAACCAGTGTAACACCTCCTCTTCATCCATCACAGGAGCCAGATTAAACTGACTTAAATAGTTATTCAATAAGTGCTGGACCATGGTGATGTCCTTCCTCTCCATCGGCCGTAACCCGGCGGTCTTTGTTGCCTGATTAGAAGGGAGGAGGGAAAATATAAAAGGTGAAAAGATACATCACATTCATTCCAGTACTAGCTCTGGTGGATACTAGAATTAAAGCAACACGTGGTAATGAATGGTTTGCGGTACTGTTGCTGGACTGCTTTAATCAGCTATGGAGAATCCATTACCGTAGCTCATTGTGTTGTTTTAAAGACATGAGATGGATAATCCAGCCAGCACTCTAGCATGCTGACCTCATAGGAACTTTGACTAGACTAGGCTTGCATGTAAATACATTTTCCTCCACAAACTAATAAGTAGATGACGATTAAAGGGATCATTCACCTTCAGCTGATTTTAGATCACTGGTTTATATAGTCTTCCATACTTGGTGAAAGGATGTATGCCATAACGGCAGCAGGGCCTCCAGGCAAAGAAAAAAAACCCCATCCTTTAGGGTGCATTCACACCAAAATCGGAAGGATATCTCAAGTCAAAGGAGGGTCTGTTGACTTGCAATTGTACCTTCCGATTTCCTTCTGATCCGTTGCGATTCGTTTTTCAACCGATGCTAACGCAAGGGCACCAAAAAATGAATTGGTTCACACTGGATCTGTTTCATTGAGAAAAAGTAGTGCATGCTCTAATGTTTTTTCAGCGTAAGGCAACGTAACAATAAAGCAGTGTGAATTAGCCCCATTCACACCCATTTATTTTTCGGGGCCCTTCTGTTAGCATCCGTTCAAAAAGTATCACAACGCAACAAATCTGCTGTGAAGAGGCCCTTAAAGTTCAACTGAGCTTTCGGTTTAAAGCAGCTAAATACATTCCAGGTGCATGAAAATTAAAATGATCTTCTAGGGAGTATATTATGGGACACAGGAGAGTAATCGTGAACACAGGGTAATGCGGTTGCCAGCAGGAGTGTGGACACTAGCAAAGCACAGGTGCAAAGGCAGTCCAGTATAACACCCCTCCCACTTCCGGCAAGCCTCCGTTTTTTGCTAATGTCCTAAGAGACTTGGATCTGATTCTGGCCTGGGCAAAACTCTACCTTTCAGCCCTGTTCGAAATACACATCCCAGGCATGGACAATTGGCAGGGGGTCTTCCTCAGCTGTCCGGGGAGTGGTCTCTTAACTTCGAGCTTTTCCACGACCTTTGATGAAGGTGGGGCATGCCAGATGTGGGCCTTCTGGTTTAAAAACATACTGGCTAGATTTGTCTCCAGGCCCAGTGATCCTCTAGCCTTCCTAGTGGGTGCTCTGGTGGCTCCACCGGATCAATTTCGCCTGATCTACACCTTTCCACCTCTGAAACCTCTTCCTCGCCTTATCCTCAGATTTTAGGTGGGAGGCATTCTGAAGATTCTCACTGCGCTCGACTGGCCCAGGATGATGCGGTACAGCTTTGCTAGTGTTCAGTTTTCTGAAGGCCGCAGCATAACCCTATGTTTCTGACTACTCACCTGTGTCCCGTTATGTACAATTAATGGAAGTGCTTAACGTCTTACAGTACTTTTCCTTTCTAAAGCAGCCACAGACCGAGTAGAAAAGACTGTCCCCTGCTAGCAGCTGCACAGTAAGATTCTTGCTCTCTGTGTGGAAGCAGTGGCCTCACTGCAGAGGTGCAACACTTTCGATTCAGAGTCAGAACTATAGCTCTACAATCAGCAAAGTTCATACTCCATGCAAGGGTCCTTCTCTGCAGAATGCTGGCAGGGGAAACGGTTTTCTTCTCTGTGTAAAGAAAACAAATTGTAAGACTTTGCACACCTATTGTTTTGATGCACCTTGAATAAATGTAGCTAATTTAAACTGTTTAAAGTTCAATTGGTTCAAGGTACCCAAACAGCCGCACAGCGATGAGGTCACTGCATAGAAACAACTTTACTGCACTCCAATCATGCTACACAGTCCCCCACCCACTCTAGAGAAGAGGAGACTGTGCGGCATGGTTGGAGCGCAACAATGTTGTTTTCATGCAGTGGCCTCATCTCTGTACGGCTACTTGGGTGCTTTGGATTGTGTGATTTGGAGCGAGGATGCCCTCTTTTAGTGGGCAAACAGCATTTCTCGGTGCTCGAGAAATGAACTCTGGGATGGAATGGCGTCTATCGTTGTGCTTGAAAGTTCAACTGGACTTTAATCCTGGTTATGTATTTACTAATAAAAAAATGTATATATAAGTATGGCGAATACAACAATCTGCTACATGTACTCCTCTGGTCACCAGATTCAGGGTGGATGAGAGGGATGAGAGCCGCCCAGGGCTCTATTGAATTAAACTGCTAACATGCTCACTGGAGGAGAGAGCACACAGATGAACGTGGTGCTGCTCCTACACTGACCAATCAGCAGACTGCAGTAAAAGTGATTAAAAAACATTTATGGCTGTCATTTTTCCCCAGAGTCAACCATCAGACAATAGTGCACAAGGAGGATGATTGCACTAGCAAAAGTAAATAGGACACACTGTATAGGTGGGACAAAGTTGAGCTCTAACATTTTTGCCTGGAGCTTTCCTTTAAAATGCGGTGTCTGCAGTCACTGGTTAACATTTCACTAACTAGTGAGAAAATGTGCACCAGCATGAAAAAAGTAGTGTCTGTGCAGAAATCGAGCAGTGTATGGCCATTTTCATATAAAAAACGAGGTTGTGACTTGACACAAGCCCAGCAGTCCCATCAGTTCATCATTCTCAGTGCTGAGATGTAATTAGCAGCATGCAGTGTGGAGCCAGACTCTTCACACCAGAACAAAAATAGACTTCTTTTAACTACATATCATTACTTTTAACACCGTTGATGCCTATTATGAGCATACAATGATTTGTAATGATGATGTACCAATAAACGTAAGTCCTCCTGCAATCTAACTAATTTGACATCAGCAGGCAGGTATTTAGGGCTAAACCGCTAGGAAAACAAGATCAATGACTCAAAGATGTCAGTATGTCAGCCAGAAAACAACGCTTAGCATCTGACTGGTGGTTATGAGTGTCAATGCTCTGTATCCGCTTGCTCACACAAGTTCCCTCTATGGAAGCTGTGGGTGGCAATCTTGAATACAGCACTAGATGTACTTCTGAATCTTCAAAAGGAACAATCTTTGACATCAACACCCACCAGCTAGTAGACACAAAGCTCATTTAAATAAACCTTTGAAGCAAAAGTAAACCTATTTTGTTTTTACAAAAACGCTGACAGGTAGGCTTTTTATGACAGAAGAGGCTCTGTATGTCACTTTTGTCATAAATATGTGTAAACAATAAGTCAAGGCAACTGGACTTGCTGTATTTTTCTTGGAGACGTTTCACTGGTCATCCAACCAGCTTTCTTAATTCAGAATGACTTATACAACAATTCTCTGGGAGTTTCCCAGAGAATTGTTGTACAAGTCATTCAGAATTGAGAAAGCTGGTTGGATGACCAGTGAAACATCTCCAAGAAAAATACAGCAAGTCCAGTTGCCTTGACTTATTTTTTACAGATACACCACGACCCGGATGAATGAGAACCTTCACAGACATTTTGTCATAAATGCTCCTCCCTGCCTGTTCGCATTCTTACGCATGAGCGGCTCAGTGTACAGTCTCTGCACAGTTCTGTGCTGGGATGAAGTAACCCATGTACACAGAAGTTAGGCCTTCCTGACCAAGAAAATCAAGATGGATGAAGTCTTTGAACTCGAAGAAGACAAAAAGACCAAGTGAGGATAGAACCATCGGCCATGAAGGGGAGTGTTAATATTGCAGCATTGGAAGGGATTGCCTTACTAGGTTAGTAGTATGACATAATGTGCAAACTTGCCCATCATGGAAAAAATCTCCTGGGGGCCAAAAATATGGCTTCTTCTGTTTTAGTTGACTTCCTCTTCAAACTGCTAAAGTCTGCATTTTTTTTTGACCAAGAATGGTTATCCCACAAAATGGCTTTCCCAAGCATGGTAAAATAACTGTAACATACGACATACAGTAACATCAGAAAGACAGTGGTCAGTAAAGTGCTAGCAGAAATACAGATATGATCCAATATGCAGTACTGAGCCATGTGATGACAATAGAGCCATGCATAGACTGCAGCATAGTGATTCTTACATCGGGAAGTCTGTACAGCTTCATAGTCCTTTGTAACGTCATATTCCTACTTAGGTGAGAAAACTTCACTTCTACCAGCTTTCTAGGGTTTAGAGAGCGGTGCCAGTACCTGATAAAAGAGAACATTTTGTTATTGGTGTTCACCGTCTCAGTCTCAAGACAGTGAGGCTAAGCTAGCCCCAAGCTCTCCCCCTTCTGAGGAGCCACAAATCCCAGCATGCTAGTACCTGTAACTCCTCAACAACTGGAGAGCTATAGGTTGCCCAAATCTGGGTTAAAGCCATCCTGTTTCCAAAACACCATTCTGACACACTCCCCCCCCCCCATACCTACCATACCTGAGGAAAAATGCTGTTTCAGGGTATCTCCAAAGTCTGCCCCGCCATCAAATGCTGAAGCATTGATCATATGACCTCAGCCAGAGGGAAGGCTCAGCGTTCAGTGCCTGAACATCAGCCCTCTATGCCTCTTCAGCTGAGATCACACGGCCAATAGGACCACCTTACAGTAGTAGTCATTCCGCAGTAGATATAACAATGTACAGAGCGTTTATTTTAAACTTTAAGTTGTATTTAACCCCTAGCAATTAGGTTTTCTAATTTGCTTCCATTTCATCTGTTAAACATACCATTGAAAACAAATTTTATATCGGTTTTAAGTGTAAAAAACTGAAGATGTTATCAGAAATTCAGATTGTGTCAGAGTGTTGTTTCTTGTGCAAGCTTCCTGAGTTATTTCAAAGAGTCTATATAGTCCTGCTAGCTCCTATCTTACAATAAAATGAGTGCCTATGCTTTGGAGATAAAGGCAGTGGTATGGATTATAGTCTAGTAAAAGAAAACTAAGCAGGCCTGACACCACTCAGTCCACAAAAATAGCTGGGTGTTGTCATCCTGCAACAGGACTTGAAGTGACACTAAACTCAAGAGTTACATTTTAGAAATGCATTCAAGTACCTTAACTATTAACAAAAATGTATCTTATCTGTGTATCACTCGGCTGTAGATCCTCAAATCATCTCTGGATTGGTGCTGACACTGTCCTTCCTTCTGGAGGGTGGCTACTTTTGTTCCCCATGCTCACTGTGTGTGTTGTAAAGTAGTCACCGCTCCAGGCTCGCTCTCGTGATGGACTACAATCCCATGTTTAGTTTACTCATTTGTATTGAGATTTAACTCCCGCGTTTAGTGTCACTTTAAGAGCTGTGTGCATTTCTGGCAGATTAAGAGACGTTTTAAGGTACTTGCGATGTCAATAAAAGGGGGGAAAAAATGGAGAAATGTCCATGTATTGCAAAGATGTATTGCAAATGTTTTTTTCCCCCTTACATATGCTTTAAAGAAAGTATCTGCCATGTTGTTGCTTATAAGTCAAGCTGTGATCTTTGGGATCTACCAGGCCTGGTGCAGGTTAATGGGTGGTGTCTCTCTCTTCCCCTCTCCCACAGAAAAACACTAAGTCGGGCTGCCTAAGGGCATTTATCCCAAATCCTCCCTCAGCTCTTTGCAACACCAAAAAATACTTGTTTTACTGTTTACAAATTCACTTTCCTTTCCTGGCACCATTAGGTCTACAAGAGAATAGGCGTCTCCTTTAAACACTGGGGGAGAGGAGGCAGACAACACAATCTGTGCTCCGATTCCAGCTCCTTCTGAATAGGGCCGGTGTTGAAGAACATTCTCTGTATCGCAGGGTGGCTCATGCATACCAAGTTTTCCTCTTGTGTGAAAAGTGCTTTTAGAATCCTAGTCACAGGCAAACCTGATTTCCCCTCTTCAGGACACAGAATTTCTGCACTAAGCCAAGGCCCGCTGTTTATTTGTGAAGCTCATTTATAAAACAAAGCCGTACCTAGGAGGAGAGAAGACAGGGGACACTGCACTTTATAAGTAGCTGATCCCAGAAGATTATACACTTATGTCTAGTGACTTCAACACCCCGCCGACACACAGCCAGCCCGACATCTAATAAGCGGCTTCTTATTTCCTCACAATTGATTTTTATAATAATTATAATTCCCCTATTATAATGACTGCAGACATTTCAAGCAGCCTCACCCTTCTGCTTACTAACCATAAAGCCCCCTTATGAATTCCTTCTAATAGAAGTTTAACTTTAAGGTCCTAATACCGCAGTCATTGTGACAAAACCTGGAGCAGCTGTGCATGGCGACCAATCAGCTTCTCTCTTTCATTTTCAGAGCTTAACTGAAAAAAATAAAAAAAGAGAAGCTGATTGGTTGCCATAGGCAACTGCTCCAGTTTTGATAAATTCCCCCTCCCCATTGTCACTTTGCAACCCTTACTCTTTCCAACTCTGCTGCTTTTCTGCTCCCTTGTTGCAGACAGTGTAAAACACACATTGTTTCTGGGAATGTGGGAGCATGTGGCCCCCTTCCATGATGCAGTCCTCAGGCTCACTGGCTAATTGCTGGTCTTAGCACTGTCCCATGTCACCAAATATCTTAGTGGTGGATGCGACAGAGGAAGGTGCAGCAGGGGATCATTAAAGAGGTGAGTATCAGTGGCTTGGAGGAGCGGGTTTTACACAGATACTATCACTGTGCACTGAATAGGCAAAGTGACCGTTAAAAATGAAATTAAAACTGTGTGCTTAGGGCCTCAGGGCTCTCCAAGTTTAGGGCTATGCCTCGCACCCAAATTATACTACTATTTTTTTGAAAGTGCCTCAGTGGTTGGTGGGGGTGATCTGAGGGGAGCATTGTGCAGGCATTCTAATAGCAGGCACCTGATTTGAAGGAGGGCTTTTGAAGTTAAGAGAATGACAGGTTCACTTTAAAGCATAATTGCAGCTTTCCCCCTCAGTCTGACCCCACATGTACCTTTTGATTTTTTTTGTTTCTTGCTCATACGTTTTTTTGTTTTATTTTAACAAGACTTCTGACCAGTCACATGAGACACACGGCCTTCTTCTCTGGTGCTGGAATGTCCTCAATGATGCAGAAAATGGCGCTGATGTGATGATGTCAGTGCTGTACTCTACAACACTCTACTGTGGGTGCAGGGTGTGGGTCAGGGACACCCTCTACACTTAGTACATATACAACATGGTCTTGCAAATGTATATTGCATTTAAATACATACATTTACAACACTTAGTACCATTTCAATCCAGTAGAGGAACAGTGCTGGACCTCGGAGTGGTGAGGGCATGTGGTACACCACCAGGGAGGACATAAGCAATGCAGCAATTGGGCTTTAAGTTTATCCCACTCCACTTTACAAGCCAATATCAGTCACAGTATAAAGAATAGATTCAGTTCTATACCAGTCTCACACCTGCATGTAGACACGGGCTTTGGTAAAACGACCCCCGCTGTGTACACAGCTTGGAAGATTCCTTCTAGATTGACTCTCCGGGTGATCTCTCGGATGAGGACAGGAGCAACACGCTTCGATCGCAGCTTCTTATGGACACAAAGGAAATTAACCTCTACCATCTTCTTTACACTGGGACAAGTCAACAGAAAAAGACAATATATTAAGAAGTGTGAACATTATTAACTCAGACAAGCACTTTGTTTAGCTGTAAAGGAACCTATATTTAAACATTAAAGTGGAACTCCAGGAACAGAGGTTTTTGTAATTTCTTGCTTTAAAAAGCAAGCAAAAACAAAAAAAGTTACCTTTAAATGAAGTTTACGGCACATCCAGTTTGACGCTCTCTAGTGTCAATTTATACTTTCATCTATGCCGGATAGAACAGACATCATTGTACTTCCCGCCAACTGTGGCTCTGATACAGAGAAGTGAAAGTTAGCCTATTGGCCTTCTTCTGCCCATGTCCATTCACAGAACACCTTGTATTATGTGATCCGTTTACAGAATACAAGGCATTCTGTGATTGGGCAAGGGGAGAGGGGGGAAGATAAATGTCATTATTGCTTCCATGTATAACAGCCACAGTGTGCTGGGCGTACAGCAATAGCTGCACTATCCCGGATGAATGAAAGTATGGCTTTTACACTACAGAGTGGCCAAGCAGATGTGCCATGAACCTCGGTGAAGGTCATTTTTTTTTTTACATGCTAGAAATGACAAAAACCTCTCTGCTTAGAGTTCCGCTTTAATATAGGTTCCTTTGCAGATAAACAATGAGCCTGTCTGAATTAATAATCAAGAGGTGTCATAAACCTCATTAGCAGCAACTGTTGTTTTTACACACAAGAAATAACAAAAACCTCTCTGCTCAGAGTTGCACTTTAACACAAAGCTATGGAACTAGTCTTGCTGGGATGCAAGTAAAAAGTAACACAGCACTAAAGTACTTAATTCTCTTGTACACTCCCTCCAGTGCTACTCACAAAGTCTAGGCATTTGGCTGCATAATTTCTGATAGGGATGCACCGATACTATTATCGGTGCCGATGCAGAGTATTTGGGCGAGTACTCGTAATGACTCGCCGCCAGGCGTCCTGGCTGATCCAGTATTGGGATAAGCATTCGGAACATTTGAGCGAGTTAGAGTACACGCCCAAATACTCTGTATCGGCGCCTGATCAGTCGGGAAACTGGCCAATCAGGAAGCAGGCCAACGGGTCATTACCCACTCCCTGGCTTCCTGAATGGCCAAAAAGCCGGCTCCACGCTTCCTTGTCACCTGGTGGCGAGGGACCATGGAGACAAGTTCCCAGCTAATCCTGGCTTCCTTAATTCGACTTGCGGTATCTGTTTTCGGTGTCGACGAGTGCTGGAAAAAAATTATCGGTACTTGTACTCAATACCAAAAAAACGGTATGAGTGCATCCCTAATTTCTAGTCGAAGGGGAGAATCAGCCAATACAAACTCTGATCTCTACATCAAAGATCACATGACCATGTGACTAGGTTTTGTGTTTGGTAAGCTTTGTTTGGTGGCCATTCTACCATCACATTTATATGCGCTTGTAGGACTTCCAATTGCAAAACCAGGTGCACAAAATCAAACAAGCAGCCATGCAATCTCTACCTACCAACATCAGCATACAAAGACATTTTAAACAAATATGCACTTCCAACACTGTGGCATCAGTTTCAGGAAGGTACTTTTCTGTTTAAGCATGACTGTCCCTGCATACAAAGCCAGCTCCATAAAGACATGGTTTAACGGATTGTTTTTTTGTGGTGGACCTTGAGTGACCTGCATAGAGCCCAGACATCAACTCTTCTCAATGCCTATGAATTGGAATTCTGATTGCTAATCAGGTCTTCTTGTCCAACATCAGATCCCCCAAATGCTCTTTCAGCTATATGGGCACAAGTTCCTACAGAAATACTCCAACATCTTGTGGAAAGCCTTCCCAGAGGAGTGGAGGCCTGTATAGGTGTAAAGAGGGGCCAACTTTATATGAAACACATAGTTTTAGAAAATTTCAACAAACTTATAAGGGTCTAATGGTCAGATTTTTACAAACTGTTAGCTACAAAGTGTAAATACTTTAGCCCTTATAATCCGGTTTATTTTTCCCTCTCAGTAATGCTGTGAACACATACAGATTTTGCTGGCTCAACCAGTCACTAGAAAATGAGAATTCCTGTGTAATGCACTAAGCCTTACAAACATATACCATATTGCCAAAAGTATTGGGACACCACTCTAAATCATTGGATTCAGGTGTTCCATTAAATTGCCTCGCTACTGAATATTCCACGGTCACCTGTTACTGGTATTATAACAAAGTGGAAGCAACTGGGAACAACAGCAACTCAGCCATGAAGTGGTAGGCCACGTAAAATGACAGAGCGGGGTCAGCGCATGCTGAAGCACACAGTGCACAGAAGTCGCCAACTGTCTGCAGAGTCAATGGCTACAGACCTCCAAACTTCGTGTGGCCTTCAGATTGGCACAACAACAGTGCGTAGAGAGCTTCATGGAATAGGTTTCTATGGTCGAGCAGCTACATCCAAGCCTTACATCACCAAGTGCAATGCAAAGCGTCGGATGCCATGGTGTAAAGCACGCCGCCACTGGACTCTAGAGAAGTGGAGACGTGTTCTCTAGAGTGACCAATCACGCTTCTCTGTCTGGCAATCTGATGGACATGTCTGGGTTTGGTGGTTGCCAGGAGAACGGTACTTGCCTGACTGCATTGTGCCAAGTGTAAAGTTTGGTGCAGGGGGATTATGGTGCGAGCTTGTTTTTCAGGGGTTGGGCTTGGCCCCTTAGTTCCAGTGAAGGGAACTCTTAAGGCATCAGCATACCAAGACATTTTGGACAATTCCATGCTCCCAACTTTGTGGGAACAATTTGTCCGTGATAGTCATTGCGAGCACCAACGTTTATTTTGGCCAGGACTGCTGTAAGGTGTGCGGAGAGGACCCCCACCACCTGACAACATCAGTACCTGACGCCTTCCCAGAAGAGTTGAAGCTGTTCTAGCTGTAAAGGGCGGGCCAACTCAATAATGAACCCTACGGACTAAGACTGGGATGCTATTAAAGTTCATGTGCGTGTAAAGGCCGCGTCCCAATTCTTTTGGCAATATAGTGTAGTTTTCTCTTTTATGTGGATACTGTTCTTGTCCTGTTCAAACACTAGATGGTGCCCTTCATTTAGCAAGCATGTTACATGTACCGCCAATAGGAAAAGACCATGCCCCAGATTCTGGGGATGCACATTTCCCATAACGTCTTTCCTCTTCCCAGGGCTGCTATAAGATTTATGCGCTGATAATTATTGCGGTTGTTAGATTTGTCACCAAAACTGTTTTGCATATTTGGGGAAAAAAAGAATTATACTGCACTTGGCTGAATTTAGATAATTTCTTTGATGTCATATTTAAAGATTCTAAGAAGAAACGGTCAAGCCCAACCTTTGACATTTCCGATGGAAAGGTAGGATGACTTGGTAAATTACCAGAATCTTTTTAGTTTTATTAGCTTTTTGGGTAGTATGGGATAAGAAATGTATGTGTATGGGATAAGACACAGTGTATGGGATAAGAAAAGAAAGGTTCAGACGTAAATCTGGTCACTTCAAATGGATCATTTTAAATTGCTTTACTTACGTGTCATAAATACGGATAGTAGCAGGAACGGCGCTTATAAAGCCCACTAATTTTTTGTTGGAAGATACTCTGACCCCACAGTGCCATTGGGATAACCATCCAGGAGGACGAAGTGCCCTTTAAAAGAGGAAATTATAAGAATATAAACATATAATTGTATATGAATTACAAACTACAGTCCAGTAAAAATCAAAAGTGAAGCTTTGAAATACATACAGAGGTCACAACTAAACTACTAATTTGTCAGTAAGCTGGAAGTCTGGGAACCTCTTTTGATCATCTTTTTGTAAAGTAGAAGAGGAATTCCCAAACACTTCAAAGATTATTGGTGTCTCTCTCATACAGAAAAAGTCTGATGCATATGTGGGTGAGCATAAATCCAGTCACATTTATGGCAAACTTGCTTGCTTATGAAACTCTTGTTCCCCTAGATGCCTAATAGGTTTCCTTGCAATAGGGATTGTAGTTAGGGATGCACCGATACCGAGTACTATACTCGGTACAAGTACAGATACTTTTCGAGCTCCAAGACTAGACTAGAGAAAAATTCAAAAGTTAGGAGGCCGCTGTCATTTTGTAAGGATGTAGTACTTCACAGTAGAAGCAGCTAGACAGGTGAATGAGGGCTCTTTGTTGGGCTCTTTTGCTGCTTGTTAACAATATGTAAATATTTAAATAGGGATGTTCAGATCCCAATACCGTACACTTTTCTCTAGTCTAGTCTTGGAGCTGGAAAACTATCTGTATTGTACCGAGTACGGTATTGGGATCTGAACATCCCTATTTACATATTGTTAACAAGCAGCAAAAGAGCCCAACAAAGAGCCCTCATTCACCTGTCTAGCTGCTTCTACTGTGAAGTACTACATCCTCAAAGATCACAACAAATGCTTTGAAGTTGGTCCTCAGTGCTGTGTGGAGAGCTGACAGGATTCTGTTGCAACAGAAAGTGATATAAAAAAAAAGCTAAAACTTTTGTAGGTCTGTAAACCCTGAAAATGAATTTCTCCACAGTGCTTATAGCTACACAGGTGACTGAGGGCTTGTTTCTAAGTTTTACTGCTTCTTCGTATATGTAAATACGGTGATGTGCATTATTCACTTTAGAGCAAAATTTCAACATTTTTTTTCAACAAAGCAGTGAAGGGTTTAGAATCTTTCTTCCTTTGTTACTACACGCTAAAAAGAAGAAATCCCAAGGAATGAAGCTTTTCCTACTCACCACTGTAAGAACTCTGGCGAATAATCAAATCTGAACATGTTATCATCATCTTCCACATAATTCTCATTCAGCAACGTGTACAGTTCTTTTAGCTAAAGAACGGAAACACCAAAAGAAGAGACAATACAAGGTGACAGGTTTAAAGCTGCATTTCAGACAGACTGAAAAGCACAAATGAATGCAGCTCTGTACCAAATGAATATAAATTCACATAAACTCAGCATATCAGATCCTAACGTTGTATAAAAAGTCCGTTATTTACATCAAAACAATCGTTAACATTTTTTTACATTTAATTTCCAGAGTTCAGCTTTAAATTGTATGGCAATCCTAACAAATCCTTCTGTTACTTGCTTCCTCTTGGTCTGTTTCATATATATTCCACACTTGTCCTGTGCAGTCTGCTCACTTCCTGTTTTATTTAAAAGAGCCCTCCTAGTTATTATTAGGGCTGCAACCAACTAATCGATTATGAGAATAGTTGGGGGAGAGAGATTTTTTAAATGCAACTAATCGAAAAAATAATCGGGCAACTAATCGATTATGAAAATAATTGTTAGCTGCAGCCCTAGTTATCTTGCCCTACAAAATTATTCGCTTTTATGCTGTAGAGATCTGAGAGTTGGATAGGCTGAATAGTTAACAAAAAGACACTTAGCAGGGTTGACACCCCTCAGTTCACAAAAAAACAGGGTTTAAAGTGATATTAAAGTCAAAATATTTTCAAGCTATTTCAAATGCTGATTAGATCCCTTACAATGGATGCTGCTCCTTAATGTTTAAAAGTTTTAGTTTCTTGCAGAATAAGCTGGTCCCCTGAACACTGGTCCTGATATCCTTTTTTTAGGGTGACTCCTTTCCTTTGCAAGATTCCTATGGAGTAATCTTTGTGTGTTCTAGTAAGCTATGTGTTTCTCCACACGTACAGCAGGGCAATCTACTCCCCTGTTCCCCTTCCTCCATGCCTGCAGACTGCACTGTCTCTTGTGAGCTCGTACTGAACAGGAAGTTCAGGGAAGCCGAGCTGAGAGAACTGGAGCTGTTCCGAAACATGATGACTATGGATGCACAGATACTTTACGAGTACCAGTGCAGATACTTGGCATTTTCATGGGTTACCAAGGTTGCAGCTGGGACCTGGCTCTGGTGCTCCACCACTGTCCTGAAATCATTAGTCTGTATTGTTTTAGAAAAACTGTCACATGACAATAAACAAAAATGTATCAGTACTTGTATCTGTTAGTACTTGGGCAAGTATCAGTACTTGGAAAACTGGTATCGGTGCATGACAGCTGCCTCCTAACTTTTGAATTTTTCTCTAGTCTAGTCTTGGAGCTCAAAAGTATCTGTACTTGTACCGAGTACTGTACTTGGTATCTGTGCAACCCTAATGATGACTAAGTGCTGCGGCAGAAATGTAAAGAAATACTTTGCTGGGCTATGTATATTTGTTTGATCTGGATTAATTACTGAAAATACTTTGAGAGTTTAATACTCTTAAGAGGTGGGTACATTTCTGGCAGATCAGGTATTGTTCTGCACTTGCAGGGTCTGTATAGGAATAAACATGGGGAATGTGCATGTATTGCAGGTGTGCTACATTCGTTTTTTTCTTTTTGCCTTTACATACGCTGTAAGCTGATTCTTGCAAAGTGGAACAATGTAATATAAAGTAATTAAAGTGCATCTGCACAGGTAGCAAAAAACAGTTTTATTAACTATATGTTTACTGTTGTACATGCGAGTGGATTTAGAATTCCGTACAACCATGCTTGTAAATTACACACTTCCATCACAATGCACAGTGGACAGTTTACACACATACTGGTTTGCTGATGTAGCTTCCTGCATCACCTCTCACCCCCAGCCTGGAAAATAAATCAGCAGGAAGGATAAAGGAAGGTGAATAAGGAAGCATCAAAGCTGAACCAGGAAGTAGCTGGATGATCTTGCTACCCATGCTGGGTGCTAGGGAGGTGTGAATCACAACAGCAGCTGAACACATTTTCAAATACAGTGAACATTAAAAGTGATAAACTCAGCAGTTAAATCTTAAAAATACATTTAGGTACCATAACTATTATTAAAAATGTATCTTATTTGTATATCACTCGGCTGTAGATCCTCAAATCATCTCTGAATTTGTGCGGGGCACTGTCCTTCCTTCTGGAGGGTGGCTACTTTTGTTCCCCATGGTCCCTGTGCGTGTTGTAAAGTAGTCACCACTCCAAGCTCACTCCCGTGATGGACTACAATCTCAATACAAACTAGTAAACCAAACTTGAGATTGTTGTTCATCACAGGAGTGAGCTTGGAGCGGTGACTACTTCACAACACACACAGGGACCATGGGGAACAAAAGTAGCCCCCCTCCAGAAGGAAGGACAGTGTCAGCACCAATTCAGAGATGATTTGAGGATCTACAGCCGAGTGATACACAGATGAGATACATTTTTGTGAATAGTTAAGGAACTTGAATGTATTCTTAAGATTTAACTTCTGAGTTTAGTGTCACTTTAATGTATGAGGACTGTATATTTAGCACTCGGCACAGACTTCATGTTTTACCATCTTACCCACTGTGTTGGCAGATCAGGAAATGTCTTAACACAGTTCATAGGTGACAAGTAATCGAATGTTGGATGACTTACCACCTCTGCATTACTGAGATCCAGAGTGTCCCACATAAAACCCTGAGGCAGGGAGTATGGCTCTTGACGAATGTTGTCCTTGTCAGGCTCAATAGAACCGTGACTGCTTATAATTTCACCTAAAAATGGAAGAGAAATAAAAGAGACATTTTTATGGTGTAAAGTAAATCAGATCACCAATGTGCAGAAATAAAAAGGACAACTGGCAGCCTTTGAATCCATTATCACAGGATCACATTATCACATTCACATTATCACAGGAGCCACATTTTCCCTGCCTCCCTAGGTGGATCAGTAATCCAATGGTAACATAGTATGTGTTTTAGTCTTCATGGGATGCATAACGAGAAATCAGAGGATTGAGATACTTTTCTGGAAAAACTGCCGTGCCAGGTTCCCTCCAGTGCTGGTCACATGATTTCTAAAAGGAAGGATTAGCCAATCTAAATAGGTGAAAACATACTATTCATCCCTTTTCATATCCAATCTTCAATCTATCATGAATGCTGCCGCTAGACTCATCCACCTAACCAACCGCTCAGTGCCTGCAACCCCCCTCTGCCAATCTCTGCACTGGCTTCCATTCTCCACCCCCCTCTGCCAATCCCTCCACTGGCTTCCAATCACCCACAAGGATACAATTAAAAATATTAACTAACACCCACTTACAAAGCCATCCACAACTCTGCCCCCGGCTATATCTCCAACCTCATCCCAAAGTATCACCCTAACCGTTCTCTCCGCGCTCCTCCCAAAGACCTCCTACTTTCCAGCTCCCTCATCAACTCCCCCCATGCTCGCCTCCAGGACTTCTCTAGAGTCTCTCCCATCCTTTGGAACTCCCTACTACTCCCAATCTGTCCGTCTATCTCCCACTCCTTTAGGCGATCCCTAAAGACTCATCTCTTCAGGGAAGCCTATCCTGCCTCAGGGCCTATTCACAGCTCATCCAGATCATCTCCAGACCAGACAGTTTCCAAACCCAAAATGCACCCTAATGTATCCCTATCACTTTCTTAAACAATTCATCATCACACAGCTACCTCTTCTGTGTGGCCAGTGGATATTTTGTTTAAGGACCTACCTGAAGTCGGTGAGTCGGAAAAAACATAGAGGCCAACCTTTTGTATAACACCTGAACCTGGTATATACATCTCTGCCATCCTGGCTAGACCCAGACCTTTTTATCAGCCTGCTGCCACAATACATACATACATACATACATACATACATACATACATACATACTATATTGTTAAAAGTATTGGGACACCCCTCCAAATCATTGGATTCAGGTGTTCGTCACCTCCTTGGCCCCAGGTGTATAAAATCAAGCCCCTCGGCATGCAGACGCTTCTACAAACATTTGTGAAAGAATGGGTCGCTCTCAGCTCAGTGAATTCAAGCGTGGTAATGCGATAGGTTGCCACCTGTGCAATAAGTCCATCCCTGACATTTCCTTGCTACTAAATATTCCACGGTCAACTGCGCATCTGGAAGAATGGTGAAACATTCCCATAGACACACTCCTAAACCCTGTGGACGCCTTCCCAGAAGAGTTGAAGCTGTTATAGCTGCAAAGGGTGGGCCAACTCAATATTGAACCCTACGGACTAAGACTGGGATGCCATTAAAGTGCTTGTAAAGACAGGCGTCACAATACTTTTGGCGTGTGTGTGTGTCGCGCTGCGCAAACTGTTGGCGCTATATAAATCCTGTATAATAATTGACAAATATGGCATTTTAGCTTTCAGTGGGAATCTGTTGGTTGCCTTTTTTCCAGGATTATAACAGTCTGTTAAACACATTTGAACGTTATAAAAATAAATATCTGTAGTAACAGTAATAAAATAGAGAAATAAAGCAGGAAATAGTACTTCAGTGAGGTCTAGTATATTACAGATTATAAGACAGGAACACTCCTTTCATGTGCTGTGTGTGACCTTCTCAATGACCTTGCCCTCATGTAAGGTTACCACATACCCTATTAGCATGCAATTTGCGCTCATGATGTCCCAGAGGACAGGGGAAAAAACTACAGAGACAAAAACAGAAACGATTTTCCTTCAATTTCAAAGAAGCCGGAGAGCATCTGATTTTGGCACAAAGGCCGTCAAGAAAAGCATCTTTTTGCTGCACATCACATGGCGATGAAAAGGGAGTAAGGAGCTTGAGAATGACACTACTACCCAATAATCAATTGGGCCTACTAGCTCAGAAAGTAAACATATAGGCTTGTTGTCTGTATCCAAGAAACCAGATACACTATATTTCCAAAAGTACAAGGACACCCCTTTGAATAATTGAGTTCAAAAACAAAGCAAGATCCATAAAGACTCGGTCTGATGAGTTTTATATGGAGGACTTGAGTGTCCTGCACACAGCCCTGAGCTCCACCCTTCTGAACACCTTTGGGATGAAATGAATGTTGATTGCAAGCCAGGTCTTCTCATCTGATATCCGTACCTGACCTCACAAATAGTGATAGGCTCGGGCGTGTTCGCAGCTCCACGTGCCGAGCCCGCCAGGAAGCTGACAGTGCCAATCACAGGCACAGAGACATTTCCCGATCTCTGCAGCTGCGGACCGGCATAATGTCTCAGTACCTGCGCGCTGTCAGCTTCCTGGTGGGCTCGGCACGTGGAGCTGCGAACACGCCTGAGCCCATCACTACTCACAAACATCCTTTTGACTAAATGGACACACAATCTGGTAAAATAGCTTCCCAGAAGACTGACGGCCATCAGAGCCACAAAGGGGGTGGCTACTCCACATTAAGCTCATGGTTTTGGAATGTGATGTCCAACAAACTAGTACAGGTGTGCTGGTCAGTTAGGTTTTAGAAGTTTCTAATTATCATATTGCAGACGGCCAAGGTGTTGCTACTGAGAACTAATTCAGATGCCAGACATGAAAAAAGTCTACTGAGCTTTTCAACCCCCCACCCCACCCTGTCAGGGCAGCTATGACAATGGCTTGCAATTCCCATGCGCTGGCTCTCCATCTATTTCGATTATCACTGCCAGGTGCACACAAACTTCCCTTTGCCTCTATAATGAGGTTACATTGGTAGGCAATAGGATGCAACTGTGAACTGCATTTCAATGCAGATTAACGCTGTATGTACACATTAATATCTGACACCCACAACCTGCAACTCTTCCCATTTAGAAACCTTCATGCAGTGGCTCGAATACCTCCTGCTCCCCCCACATCTGTCCAAAGTTGAACATTTCTTGGATTACTGTAAGTACACCCCTAAACATAAATCATTAATATTATGCACAAACACACATCACGGAGATGACCTTTCCTGGAGCCTACTTACTAAGTTTCGGTACAGGCTGTGTATCCCAAAACTGGTATTTACGTTTGCTTGCCTCGTCGAGGTTCTTTGCGGGTCCCTGGCAGGCGGACAGAAGCTCCATAGCTCTCTGGATGTCCTGCAGTTTCTGCATTGGAATGGCGTGATTCTGCGAAGATAAAAAGCGTTTTCTACATGACATGGAAACCAGACAAGCCGTCTACTGAATCTGGAGCTGTAAACACATCACAGATTAGAAAACATGGACGCATCTGTACAAATAGAACTACGCTGGTGACAGGTCCTCTGCGCCTGAAGTCAAATTAAAGGCAGTGCGTCAATTTCCTACAGTGTCCTTCTCAGGGAGTCATTTTTGTTGAGGTACTTTTACAAAGTGTTACATGATGAAAGTGTATGTAAATCCTAACGAACTTGTATTTGGTCCATTTTGGTCTGTTAAACATATCATTAAAAGCAGTGTGTTATATATTGTGAGCTGATAGCTACTAAAACCCTTCATGTTCTGGACAAAATGGGGGGAGTCCTATCTTGTTTCTGTCATCCTGATACAGAAGGGTGAGTGTCGTCATCCTAGTTCTGGTAACCACTGAAAAGATGCAGTATTTTGGGTTTAGATAGGAAAGTTGACTGCAGTTGGCTGACCTTCAGTGCATGCAAAACGTTTAGTTTTTTGGAGTTTTCTTTTGGATAGAGTAAGGCCTCAGTCACACCAGACACAGTGCCTTCCGGGCCGATTTTGGCCAGAACACACTGCATCGTGGCCGGCTCAGTATGTTGTGGGGAAGGAGGGGACGTGGCGGTCCATTGAACTGAATGGCACCGTAGCCACGTCTTCCGGCCGCAAGGGAATGCAAGACACATTATGCCTGCAGTCCGGTCCAAACAAAATACCATTCAGTTCAATGGACCGCCACGCCCCCTCCTGCCCCACAACATAGTGAGCCGGCCGCAATGCGATGCAGTGCACTCCGGCCGGAACGCACTGTGTCTGGTGTGAATGAGGCCTAAGGAATTATTAAAACCCCTTTTGGGTTTTCAAGTGCCATCTGTGTCCCATTGGGGTAATTTCCCTTTACTTCCTTTCCTGTAGACACAACAGGAAGTGAGAGGAAGGGAAGGAAATGCCCCCTTGGACAGTTATTTCCAGAACAGGTGTCCACCCTGGAATAGCCTCCTTTTTTCTAACTTTCATTTCCACTGATGGTGGTCATCTGACAGAAACAGACCAACTACCTACCGGGGACAAAGGTAGCAATTAAAACCCGAGTGAGGTTCTAATACCTCACCACTTTCGATACACATAAAGGAAGCATTCTGAGCGTGATATACACTGGCTACATCCAATCATTCTTGTGAGCTGTACACACCTGGTTTGGAACTTCGGTGGATATAGAGCAGGGGAGAACGTGTTCTTTTCTTAGTGACAGGTCCCCTTCAAAGGACCCATAGACTACTAAAATGCCTCTTGTATGGAGAACATTTTTCATTAGAATAGACAGATAACCCCCCGGGAGACCAGCTTCACACTAGTTTGTCCTTCACTCAACAGTACAAAGGCCGGAGTCAGCGTGAAAATTACCTAATCGCTTCACCCTCTCCATTCACCAGACTCGAGGGACTCAAGCGTGACATTGGAAAGGCCTTGACCACCAGGCATTTCTACAGATCGCTGTTCACTGCCACTATTTCTGTGCGTGTATCTGGAATACCTTACATATGCTGAAAGAAATTGTCTGTTCCCACCGGTATCCAATCAGAGGCTTCTTTTCATTTACGAGTCCGGCATGCTTTGCAAATAAGAGTACTTAAACAGGTACTTTCCCCATATCCTTGAAAGGCGCCTTTAGAAATGTTTAGTAATGATAATCTACAAACAGATACTTCTAGATAATTGCCGGCTTTGTATTCTTTGCATACCTAGTTTTTCTTTTCCTCCCCATTCTTCTCACAGTGGCCATTTTTACTATGGGCAGATGAATCCATCTCCCTTTACTTCCTAGAACTCTGGCACATGTTACCATGCACATCCAGCCCAAACCCCATTGTTAAAGTGACGAGGGAGCATGGAGCCAGCTTCCTGCCAATCAGGAAGCCGGGCGGCGTGTAATGTCTCACTGCCCGGCTTCCTGATTGATCAGCAAGCTGGGCGATGCGTAATGACGCAGCGCCCGGCTTTCTGATTGGCCGGGAAGCCGGCTTCATGCTCCCTCGTCACCTCAAGACGAGGGAGCATGGAGCCAGCTTCCTGCCAATCAGGAAGCCGGGCGCCGCATCATTACAATGGAGCCAGCTTCCTGATTGTCCAGAAAGCTGGCTCCATTCTTTCTCGTCACCTAGTGTCGAGAAGCATGAGGCACAGCTTCCCTGCAAATTGGGAAGCTGGGTGGCGAGTCTTTACACGCCGCCCGGCTTCCCAGCTAATCAAGAAGCCAGGTGGCCAGTCATTACATGCTAGCTGGCTCCCTGAATGGGACTTCCGGTATCGGTATTCGATATCAGCGAGTACCGAATAAAAAATATCGGTACTTGTACTCGATACCAAAATACCGGTATCGGTGCATCCCTAACTTCAATCACCACTGAATCGGCAGATGCAGAATGTCCAAGAACAGAATGGGAGATGTGGATGTTTTGGACCCACCCTGTGCTAGTTACATTACCACATCCTTGGGGTCAGGAAGTCCGTATAGGTGTTAATTCCCCAATTTACATGGTACATGTCAACTGTCGTCAAATGACTGGGGTAGAGATGTTGAAACTGCATTATATGTGGAAGACAGATGTGTTGAAGGACCCCACCCCTGTTCAGGGATGAGTGCTCTAGTTTGACGTAGATGGTCTCTTACACACCTCTTGCAAACCAGTTGTCCTCATTTAAAATGTCCATTTATAGGTCTTAGGAAGAATGTCCTATAACATGTGACATTTATGAGGTCAAAGGTACAGAACACACACACAAATGTTTTCCATGTACCCAGGCAATGCAGCTCAATGCACTTGCTGTGGACAAGCCCAAAAGACCTCACATGGAGATAGAAGAATATCGTCGTCTTCTAAGATTCAGATCTAAAAATAAAACGATGTGTTTCATGCATGCAATAAGCCACACCTAAGGTTTCATTCAATATATTGCCTAGCTGGACAGGAAAGAAGGGGGTCCGGTCTATAGATCATACACATGGCTGTCTGATAAGAATAGACGCATGTTCGCTTTACAAACGCAATGTTTACTTTACTTGTCCCTGGTGACCCTGTGTAAAGCAGCTGCTAGCAACAGCTGAAAATAAATAATTCACAGCAAATGTACACAACACTTTTCTGGCTTTCACTGGAGAAAACATGTTCCGCATCATGGAATGACTGCCTAGAAAAGGGACCAGAAACTCTTATGTTTGATTCTGGCACTTCAGGAGCTTAGAAGATAAAATCGTGTTTGTACAATCTATTTATTTCCTATGTAACAGGACCAAAAAGGATGCTGAGGTCAGCCAAAAAGAAGCACCAAGCTCTCCACCAAACTCTAAGAATTGCATTGACTTCAATATATTAGATTAGAATAGATTAGAGCAGTGGTCCTCAACCTGTGTAACCCACATTTGTCCCTGGTCATTAAGTCATGACCCAAGTGGCACCGCACTTCAACGCACGGCATTGCGGTACCATGCGTTCCGGTTGATTGAATTGTGGGTGGGAGGTCCATTTGGGGTGCCATTCAAAGGAATGGCAATGCAACACACCTCCCACACCAGAATTCAATGTAGGTCCAATTTTGCGTGGTACAGTGCATTAATCGCAAGGGACTGTGCGATTAACGCACTGTACTAGTGTGAACGGGCCCTCAAAAACATATTTTCTTTTTTTAAGATCCACCCAGTCTCCCTAAGGAGCTCCCTATGGAGCTTCAGCCATACGTGCCTTGCTGGTACAGCTCCCTTGCACACCCTGTAGAACTGCCAGGAGCCAGAATGTGACGTAAGTCCGGTACAGGACTTGTGAGGGAGCTGTAAGCAATGCATGAATGCAACTCCCTCGCTGCCATAGCCCCATCCCACCGCACCTCAAGCTGACACTCGGCAGCATATTTTGAATGGCTGCCTGGCGTGAGTACTGACAGTGTTGCGCTAGGGGGAGGCAGAGGAGCCTCTCACCTAGAAAAGGGGAAGGCAAGCGGTGACCCACTGAACGAGGCGACACGACCCACCAGTTGAGAACCAAGGGATTAGAGAACTTGTAAAAAGTCCTCCCTGCAAAGAATTGCCTAATGTTTTTGTGTTATTAAAGAGCTCCAAGTAAGAAAGATATTTTGTGATACGCAAAAACAACTCAGTGAGTTCCCAACTTCCTGTAGTGAGCTGACAACACTGCCACTGGTGCACTCTAATTCCAAGCAGTGTTGCCAGAACTGCCCCAGTTCTCACCCGGGTGGACAACAGATCACTTTATGCAAAAGCAAACGGTCAGGCAACTCCTGAACAGCAAGGGCCAAGCACAAGAGCAGAGAAATAGGATATTTTCCGGTGGGAAGGTAGATCCTAGATAGGGCTGTGTGCAAGACCAGGCCCAGGTACTCCAAGAAATGGGAACCATCTGAGGCTCTGTATTGTCTGATGAATGTTGGCCAATAAGGCTTGCACCAACTGCTCTCTGAAAAGGTCATCCGAGTACCCCAGTATGGGGTTTTCCTTAAGACCGAAGCCAAGCCGAAACTGGGGCCAGCACCTTGGTGAATGAGGTGCAGGGGAAAGGCTGAATAAATAAATGAACTTTGCACGATATTCTAATTATTCGAGTTTCACCTGTATAACGAGAATATAGCTCCCCCCAGGTTGGAGTAACAACTCTAAAACTGAGCAAGAAGCTGACCTAGGGCAGCAAGAGGTACCATCAGTCTGTGGGCTGATCTTGGTACGTATGACAGCAGAAAGTGAGGATGATGCAAGTAGCAAAACTTCAGCTGGTAACTTGGTTAGGACGCTCAAGACTCAGGGAGTTTGGAAGAGATGTCAGGAGACAGGTCCTCTTCCTGCCTACAGAACTGAAAGCAGTCCCTTCTACCTCAGCATCTTACTCAGGGAGTACACAAGCAGTCTTGGGAAAGTCAGAGGGAGACTCTGAAGGCGAAGGAAAAGGGGTCCGCTTGTGGTCTGAGTTTAGATATTTTCCCAATAAATTTTGCAAATACTGCAGTAAACACCTCTCTGGACAGAAGGGTAAAGGAGAGCGCCCTGGAGGGTGTTGAAGAGGTCCTGAAGGGGACAAGGAGCCAAGCACGGGACTAGCAGAAGGGGACAAGGGGATAGAACCCTCCCCAGAACTGATGCCAGGCTGTGAGGCTCCAGAAAATACTGCATGTGAGTATTCTGTATTTTTATATCCAGCCAGCAGATAAAACACTTCGATACTTTTCATGTTTCTCAGATATTAAAAGGGTTGTATTTATTTATCTTCTCTATCCACTGTAATTAATCCATGTATCTACTCTACCGATCAATTTATCTGGAGCTGTAAAAAAACATTCTGAGACTTTTGGACTGTAATAACAGATATGATGTGGAATTTCCTTTTAAAGATCAAAACATGGAGAAGACTGACTTTTGCCGGCTGCTGTGTTCTGATTTCTTGAGAATCAGATGCGGAGTCCGACTTGGCCCCCCCAGAATTTGGCTTTTCCTTTTTCCTCTTCTGTTTCTTCTTTTTCTTTTTAGCTCCAAGATCCCCCGCTGGGCTCCTGTAAAGGTAAAACAAAGATCAGAAAACTCCTCCGATATAAACCAGAAGAAAAAAAAAAAGCAGCAAAAGTAATAGGGCAGTGTGCTTATCAAAACACAAAGTGCACCATCTTTTCCCGGTAAATTGTAAATAAGGTAATTAAAGTAATTAAAGAACCGGAAGCAGTTTGAACGCATAACAAAACCTTGTTAAAAAAAACCTAACGCCTAAAGAGTGAAGAAATCTCTTACCTGCCTTCATCTCTGAGCTCCCTCCAGCTACAAGCTCCCAAGCACTGCCATGGCAAGACACGCCAATACTAGTAAAGGGGCGGGGTCTGAGTTCAAACAGAGCTGCTGATTGGCTCAATCTCTGTGACACCACCAACTGGACCTGCCACCATGGCTTTGCTTAGAAGCCTTGAGCTGCTGAAAGAATTTATTAAATGAAACGCGTCAACGTTAAAGGGTCAGTTTACCTTTGTTTTAAACTTTCTAGTGCATCCAGGAATGCAGTGAAGAGAAATTCTTCCTACTTAAAATTGCATACCCTTGGCTGAGGCAATGCCTCGCCATACAACTTCCAATCAGTCATATCTTCAACCGCCCTGATATCATAAGGGCAAATAAACCATTCAAGAGGGGTGAAAAAACTAAATGTTTTTCACCATAGTTCTCTTTAGGGTCACGGGAGGACATATACAGTACTAATCTCCTCCCGTGACCCAAAGCTCAGTATATTGCGGGCAATACCAAGAGCGCCGCAGCCAAGACGGATCCCGACAGTACTGCTGGGATCCACCTCGCTGGCTGATTGACAGCAGGCTCTGCCTATCTAGAGGCATAGCCAGCTGTGCCCGCTCCCTCCGCCATTCGTTCCTCCACTCAGCGCCGGAGGATTGGAGAGGAGAATCCCTGCGGGAAGAGAGGACTGACAGTCACTGCTCACTGCAGTGAGATGATCGGGAAGTGAGCGGATCGGCTATACGTTTGTCACAGGTCGGCTCTAACTATAAGGATGAGTGGAAATCACTCAGCTCATAGTTCTCCTTGAAGTATGTCAGAATGGAGGGGGACGTCATGTTTTCCCAAATATGACTTTGCAAGTGCTGATTTATATTCATAGGAGGTTTAATTACTGCAGAGTTTTGTTAATTTTAAAATTATCAGAAGAGAACTAACCCTTTAAGTCAAGACATGTTTGCCTGACATTCCGAATGGTTCCAGCCTCCAAACCCTATGGAAGGAGCTACAGTGTACTGTGGGGGACACAGGATCTGACACTCCAGGAAGTGTCTGATAGAGTCTGTAGCACATAGCAAACGAAGGAGACACGGTGGTTGGCAAGACAGTTCAATATAATAGCTCTATAATAGGGGACTGTCATTTGGATTTGTACTATGTGACTAACAGGATTTACTTACACAGGGTTTGAACAACAGGCTCATATTAAAAAAGTGCCCCTAGCAAGCCCTCTACACAATTTTAATCTACCTCTCTCCCCCCACCAAAAAATTACCTCTAACAGCGGTAGCCTCCCACATTATATAGGCCTCTGTGTGAAACCTTGACCCACGGTGACCTACTCAGTGATTTCCCACAGACTGGAAACCCGTACAACCCATACAATTGGATTACATCCCGTTATCCATACCAGTTGCAGCCATACCATTGGACATAATCGATTATTGAAAAAGTTGTCAACTTTTTCAATAATCGATTAATCGGCTTCCGATCAGTTGGCCCTGTTCACGGCTCCACACATGCTGCGCGCCGCACCTCCTCCCCAACTCACCGCTGCCAGACCCGCATCCACGCTCTACACGCCACACCTCCTTCCCGCCTCACACTCACCGCCCACATCCACGATCGGCACAGGGAAGCGGGGAGATGTAGCAAGGAGGAGATGTAGTAAGGAGGAGCAGGTGTGGGGGGAAGACAGCCGCCGATAGACAGGCCCGATCTCAGAAACAAGTTGCTGGAAGACTGCTCATGTAAGCCTGCACTTTTCCACACATGGTGCTCTATAATGTATTGCTGGGATTTGTATTCCTCTATAGCTGATGGTACATTGTGCTGTATATTATACATGGGAATACAAATCCCAGCAATACATTATACACTTTATGTATAATGTATTGCTGGGATTTGTTGTTCTCCTATTTAGCTGGTGGTATTCTGCATTGCGCTTTATAGAGGACTACAAATCAAGGAATTTTTTACTTCCACCGCTCCAAGCTTGCTCCTGTGATGGACTACAATCTCAATACAAACTAGTAGTCCCATCACTGGAGCCATTTTTAAAAATGTATTTTATTGTTTATCCGATTAATCGAACTTAATAATCGGCTAACTAATCGATTTTGAAAATAATCGTTAGCTGCAGCTCTACATTGGAGTAAGGCGCCATTAAAGCCTAGGGGAAGTTACTGTACAAGTGTGTGCAGTACAGGACACGATTCCTATACAAGCTGTAAACACAATTGGGCGTGGAAGGGTCGGCATAGAATAGGTTTTATGGGCTAGTAGTTTTAACTGTAATGTGAACCTGCCCTTTAAATTGGATCAAAATGACTTATATGGAAAAAGTTTCTATTACTATCAATGGGAAGAAAAACTGAATCCTGAAAAAACTTGATACATACAGGTGTAAAATAAACCCCTGTGCATTGCTGCATCCGATTACTGGTGTTCCCGAAAAAAACACAATATGAAGAGTACAAAAAAAAAAAAAGAAGAGTTGCTGATCACTAAAGGACCCAGTTCAAATGGCTAAGCTGCAAGTGACTCTAATTACCGGCAATTTCATTATATATGGGATAATGTAACCCCGGCTGTAAACGAGGAGAATATTAGATTTCACGGCAGAGTTCAGTGACCATATAAATGTCGGAGGCTGCAGGCCGCCACGAATATAAAAAGGTCACAGATCTCCGGAGTGGATGTAAATATCCTTAATAATTGAATGCAAGGGGTCATACTAATATATTCCTTTTATTATACTAAAACTCACGCAGCCTGATCGACTCCACTAAACTTTAAAGATTTTAAAGTGACACTAAACTCAGGACTTAAACCTTAAAAATGCATTCAGGTACCTGAACTATACACAAAAATATATCTTATTTGTGTATCACTCGGCTGTAGATCCTCAAATCATCTCTGAATTGGTGCTGACACTGTCCTTCCTTCTGGAGGGGGGCTACTTGTGTTCCCCATGGTCCCCGTGTGTGTTGTAAAGTAGTCACCGCTCCAAGCTTGCTTCTGTGATGGACTACAATCTCAGGTTTAGTTTACTAATTTGTATTTAGCGTTTCCTTTGCAGTAAAATTAGTTAAAAACATTTTTTTTTTTTAAGTATAATGTACTCTTCCCAATACCTAGTCCCCATTCACACCTAGGCATTATGACGCTCAAAGCTATTCGCAACAAAATGCTCAAGGCAAGGAATCCCATTCATTTCGATGGCCCCTGTTCACACCTGAGTGTTTTGTTGCACAAAGTTTCCCATTTAAGACTACGGGACCAAAAAGCTCTGTAATTTGCCAAAAAGTGGTTCATGCTCTTTTTCCAGTGACGGGTATTTTTCTACTTGCAACAAAACGCTCAGCTGTGAACAGGGGCCATAGAAATGAATGGGATTCCTTGCCTTAAGGAGACAAGACATGAACAAGGACTTAGGGCTTGTTCACATGATGTTCGGATTCTGTCCGGACCAAAACAGTTCGCTCCTGCACTAAAAATGCATGCCAATGTATCCCTATGTGTTTTATGGGCTCCAGTTCTCACCAGCGCAGTCTGTTCCGCTCCGGACAGAAAAAATACTGCATGTCACATTTTCTCAAAAACGCACGGCACTGCAGTTAACAGGTGACAACCCCACTCCACAAAAAAAAAAAAGTAACTGGAACACGCCCGGAACGCGGTAAAAACAAGTCAAAAACGCGCTGCACGCATAGCACCGCGTCTGCAGAGCTGCACCAGATCGGGACCAGAAAATGGTGTGAACAAGCCCTTAGGGCCAGCTCTATAGATCGAGAGGTGAGCAATCTCGAACTGACGATCACTCAGCTCACAATCTTCTTCCTACAGAGAGTGGTGACTGTCAGTCTCTGCTCCCTACAGGGATTCCTCCCTCCCCTCTCTGCTCCTCCAGAGGTCATTGGATGGACAGACAAGATAGGGGGCGAGCACAGCTGGCTCTGGCTCTAGAGAGGCAGAGTCAGCTGTCAAATCAGGCAGCGGGATGGGTCCCAACACTATTGTCGGGATCGTTCCTGGCTGCAGAGCAGTAGCCCACTAGATGCTGACTTTGGGTCACAGGAAGACATACTAAATGTCCTCCTATGATCCAAAAGAGAACTAACACCTAAAAAAGTTCAACTTTAGTACTCTTTTAAGACTGGAGTGTTCCGGGAACGTCTACAAAAGGGCAGAAAGGGAAACAAAAAAAGACCAGGCAGCCTGTGAAAACCCAACATTCAGATCATAGCGGTGCATAGTTCGGCTGTCAGCTACACAACCGTCACAGGCAAATCAAGAGCAAAACCTCACTGAGCTTTTTCTGAAATGTGAGTCCAGAAAGAGTGTGAATGAATTCCCAGGACACAGGAAGGAGTACAGATACTTCTGTGTTACCCGTATAAATACATAAAGTCACTGGGAGTACATCATATCATAAAGATTCATTGCCAGTGCTATTCCCAAGTGGTAGGGGGCATCGCATCCACCTGTCGCCTCTGCTAATGAACCTATAGAATTGCACAGAAGACCCGCCGCCCCGTGACACCTCAAACAAACGTAGTTGCTTAAATAAAAAAATGATGGTGTCTTGCAGCGTGTGACGTGTTGCTCTGGCCGCATGTGGAGCCCGGAACAGCCCCGAACAGGCAAATCAATCGATAGCCGACGAATCGACGATCGAAAACGTTGCCAACGTTTTCAATCGTCGATTTTAATCGACCAAATCGATTAACTGTTGCAGCTCTACTAAAAACTATATGTGGCAGTGACCAAGCTT